GTATGATGATGTAATGAGCGACAAGGAGAATCGTTTAATTATTCTATATTAATATTATACATAGGGTTGCCAACCGTATTTTATAATAACGTATCCTACTTTATTTTTGGTATTCATACATTATTCTTTAAAATACAAATAAAGTATGTGAAAATACTATGTTTTCAACATTTTCTCTGATGCGTAAAACAAAACACTCTTAGGGGTAAATACTTGCTTCACTATTTTTCTTTAACGTTAAAACAGACTAAGATGAAAATTACTAACATTACCATTGACGCTCTTGTACTTATATAATTGGGCACAATATGTAATTATTTTATAAGTTTTAGTGATAATTGTAAAATAATTATACAGGGTGGGCCATGAATTAGTTAACATTTGAAAAAATCGTAAAAAAAACCATTTAACATATTTTAGAAATCGTTTATTTAAGAGAAAGCTATTTATTTTTTTAAAATTATTTCGTCTAAATGACCACCGTTTCGGTTTTTGCACTCATCTAAGCGAGTCCTGAAGTTTTCAAATACTCTTCTGCAAAGAGACCGCGAGATCGCCGACATCTCTTCGATGATTTTTTCTTTAAGTTGACGCAGTGTATTCGGTTTATCAATGTAGACACGACTCTTTAAATAACCCCATAAAAAGAAGTCTGCTGGGGATAGATCTGGACTTCTGGGTGGCCATGGGATGTCACCACGTCTGGATATCAGCTTTTCCGGAAACATGTCTTTGACCACCGGCAAGGACTCGTTCGATGTGTGACACGTGGCTCCATCTTGTTGAAACCATGTGTTACGATTATAGCCAGCAAATTCCAGTAGCATCGGTGCTAAGAACTCCCGTAACATTTTCACATACTCGGCAGAATTAACAGTAACTGAACGGCCTCGAGAATCTTCAAAAAAGTAAGGTCCGATGATTCCTTTTGCTGAAATTGCAGCCCATACAGTTACCTTAGGAGAGTGAAGTGGCCTCTCATGTTTAGCTTTAGGATTTTCGCTGCTCCAATACCTGCAATTCTGTTTGTTTACATGTCCATTTAGGTGGAAATGGGCTTCGTCAGAGAATAAGATGTTGTCAAAATTACTGAATCGAGTTAACATTGTTTCGGCATATGACTTACGCAAATTTAAATCATTAGGGTTTAGTTCTTGCACTAGCTGGATCTTATATGGATGTAATTTCAAATCTAATTTCAAAATACGGCGTAATGATGTGCGGGATAATCCTAATTCAGCCGAACGTTTGCGTGTCGATAAACCTGGATCACGTCGAACAGAAGCGGAAACTTGCTGCACGTTCTCTTCGCTCCGAGAAGTCCGCGGGCCGCCGGTTTGTTTCACATTTAGTGTAGATCCCGTCTCTTCGAACTTCTTCACCCATTTCTTTATTAAAGGAGCACTTGGACACTGACTTAAGTCGTGTAAACCATATTCAACGCGAAATAAGCGTCTCACAGTAATGAGCGAAAAGTTGTTTAAATAAAACTGTTTCACGCAGTAAGCGCGTTGCGGCCCCGTGAAGCGATCCATTGCGACTAAATTTCCAAGAAGCGAGCTAATGCCCCCGCCCGCGCCCGCGCCCCGCGCGGCAATAGTTTGCACGGTAAGTTACATTTAAATGTTAACGAATTCTTGGCCCACCCTGTACAAGAAATACTAAAGCTAAGTGATCAACAGGAAAGGGAAGTTGTTGAAATTGTAAATTACATGCTGAATATGTTTAATAAAATAGTTGGAAGGAAATTATATAACTATACTGGATGTCTATTATGGATATTATGGTACATATCTTTGAAAAATGAGATTAAATTTGAACATTTTGAATAAGGAAGTATTTTTAGAAAAAAGAAAGCACTAAAATAGCAATAGCACCTCTTTAGATGGCGACTCTACCAAAAGTTGAAAACCAATAGACCAAAGATAGTCATTTCCGTTCCTTTTAACTAACATATTAAAAAACTGAAATTTGTAAAATTCCAAACTTAAATCAATACAAATACGAAAAAGTACTAATAGAATATGAGTTGTTTATTGAGTTTTGAAAATTAATTTAATTTAATATGTCATGGAGAAATCAAGAAAGTATCGTAGCGACATCTAGTTTGATTTTGAGAACTAATGTTTTTTTAAATACTTCTTCATTGATAATTACAAAGGCCAAATTGCAAGACAGATTAAATATTAAGATAGATGATTTATTTTCTGAGTTATGTGGCTTAAAGAAATCCAAAGTTACCAATAATGATAAAGAATTTTTAGAGAATAGTACAGTTGACAAATGGCGATATATACTTAAAAATGCATGAGATGATAGCTTACCAAATGTAAAAATATATATATATTTCTTATTAACTCTCTATTTCCGTCACTACAGCTTTCACTGAGAGAGTTTTTTCATTAATGAATCTGAAGTGGCGAGAAGAGAGAAATAGAGCGACGTTAAAGTTAATTAAAAATGAATTGTGTATTTATTTTAATTTAAATGTGGATTGTCAAGCTTTGAATAATTTAAAAATGTTCGCATGTGCTAAAATGCATAACCATTCTGAAAAATTCATAGATAATGTTAAAGCTCACTCCAAACTATTTAAGAAAATATATGCATTAGTGTAGTCAAATTTAATGAGAGACAAAATTAAACATACACTTATCTTGTTTCGTAACGTTTAAAGAATACCAATTCAAGAATAAGGGGATTCGCTTTCGAATTGAGTTCGGTCACCTCAGTGAATTTGAATTTGGATTTCGACCAGAATCGCTCCACTGCTCAAAAACTGATGCTGTCGTATCTTAGTTCCAGAACACAACCAGTAAATATAAATGGTACGAAGGCATTCCCCAAGGTTCTATCTTAGCCCATTTCTTTTTTAAAGTTATTTAAAAGATTAAAATGTTTTGTAAAAAAACCTATGTGAGATTATGCTGCTTGCAGATAACATATCATTGATATTTAACATTGACAGAAATAAGTATAACTTTGACGATGTAAACAATGTTCTCTCACGAGTGTTGTCTTGGTTCAGAGTTAATAACTTTCAATGAAATGCTAATAAAACCAAACGTATAAAATTCACTTAACCTAATATAAAAGTAGAACCAACTGAAATTAAACTCAATTCAGAGTTTGTAAGTTCAACAAAATTTTCGGGCATAACACTAGAGTTTATACTGCAATGGAACCCGCACATTTCTATATTAAATTGTAAACTCAGCTCGACTATATATGCCATACCAAAAATGAGAAAAATTACTCGTAAAGAAACTGCCCGGACAGTATACTGTAGTTATTTTCTCAGAATCATGTCCTATTGTATTATATTGTGGAGAACGACAGCCGATAGTGAGTCTATATTTGTTATACAAAAAAGAGCAATAAGAGCTACCTATCAAGTAGGCTCACGAACATCTCTCAGCTAAAAATTTTTGGAAATGAGAATATCGACTGTTGGATCTCAATTTATAATTAATTGTTATATGTTTTGTCAGGAACAATATTAAATCTATACTAAACATAGTGATATACACAAACTGAAGACAAGAGATAAAAACAAGCTAGTCACGCCTTCTCACAGGTTACAGAAGGTATAAGGTTCATTCATGGGTCAAGCTATACAGAACTTTAACAAGATTCCCAGTGATGTATTAGATGTAACAATAAATCAATTTAAAATTCCTATTAAAATTGACAACAAAATATAAAATACTATACCGTTAAAGATTATATAAATGATTTGCTGAGTTTCTTGCCGGTTCTCCTCAGTACAAGGTCTCCCGCCGTAATTTTGCGAACCGTTGACATACTTTTCGACTTTCGACTAGTTTTATGTAACACAACAACAGCCTGGACTGAGTACCTAAATGGTTTTGATTTTTGATTTTAATGAGCCTAGACCAACCGCTGACATAAGCCAAAACTAACGAACGGCTTAACGCGTCTTCCAAAAAACAGAATAATTATAACAAAAGAACTAATTTTGGTCACCCGTCAACATCAACATCATCATCGGCCTTTGCGAAAGTTCACGAAAATAACGCATAATATTGGCGCATTTGATGTAGAATAAATTACGTTATTATGGCGACATCCATTGTACTCCACTAATACATTTACAATAAGTTTTTGATTTTTCAAGTAAACAAACACGAAAATTGACGCAGTGAGGAAAAGGTACATAATCAAATGGCCTGAAACGATTTTTAAATAGTTTCACTTGCCCATAAAATGACTACCCACATTTAATGGTTGGTTAAAACGTGTAGCAAAGGAAAATAAATTGATTGTAATATTAAGTATATATGACATTTTCCTCAAATAACAAAATAAAAGTGTACATAAAAAATAAATAAAGATTTATTTCCATACTTAAAATAAATGTTAATAAATATTTGCATATTATTTTTAAAAAGAGCAGAAAATTGTGTATCTGGCCGGGTCTTAGGTCAGGTATAAAAAGTAATTGGACGCGAAACTAGATTTCGTAAATGTTTAGACAAATTAATGAAATGGAAAATCTATTCTGCAAGTATTCATTGATATAAAAAAAAATAGATTATTACTTACGGTAAGATTTTATCATTTTAATCATAAATAACTACTTGTCCAATGATTTCAATTGTACACGTTTAAGTAAAGTCTTATGCACCAAACACTTTTAGTAGCACTAGTAGCAGTTTTAGTATTAGAAAAACAAACACATTTATTCTAATAGAAATAAATCTTCGCCGGCCTCACTTGCTATTGCTACAAAGGCCTTCAATTTGTATATGGCGCCTTTTAAAATTCAATGCTACCAACTACAGCAACAATACAAGTTTGCCAATTTGATTTGCACAGTTCAGGCTTCCATTTAATTTAATGAGATACTTTGTGACATATGAAGTTGAATAAAAAATGCAATTTAAGATTTCCATATTTATTGGATCAATACTATATTTAAAATAAACTGCAAAGTAATAGTAACAATCTTTATTATATAAAACTCTCTCAACGACATTGTTTCCGGTCTCTATATTTAATCACCAGATGGCGCTACTAGCGCGACGTCACTCGTGTATCTATAGTTTCCTTCTGTTTTGAAACCCAAGCTTAGTGTTATAGTTCCTTGAGGAATATTGTAATATCGTTTGAAAAGAGTAAAAAGGTGTAAGTTATCAGTTTCATAAAGATGGAAAAAAGAGTCGCCTTGGAGTTAAGGGGGAGGAATCCTTCACAGGTAAATGATGCTTATTTTCCTATATATTGGAATGTTTTGTCGATACGTATTTCGTCTGGTACATAGATGTAATACGTAAAAAATGGATAACAACTACAAAATTATTATAATTTGTTAATTTCCTTATTCAATCTTTCTTTTAATAAGTAAATTCATTACCTAATTGGATATGTGGCGCTATTGTATACAGAAAATTAGCCATTACCGACTGTTACGTTCCATTCATGTGTACATAATCATAAGATTTCTAATATTCTTCCTCGTGTTTTTCATTATTCTACATAAATATTAAAACTATACTAATTCAGTAAGTCACTAAATGTGTTTTTATAATCGTTCAATGCATTTTAATGTTAATGTTCAGTTATTGAGGTTAAGTGTAGAAACGTCTGTGAATTTACGTGGAATTTATCAATATAACCTCAAGTTTATACTTTTGAAAAAGTATTTATAAAAGCTTGCTGTAACATCATTATTAGCATTCATAAGCTTTACGAAAAGTTTTCTCTGAAACCTATTATTTCAAAAATAGGACTCATTGATTATAGCCTGTCAATGTCAATAAGTATTTATCTTAGCGTCCAAATTCATATTTTAACTTGTTAATTTTTAGTTAACGCTTATCTTGGTTAAATTACAAAAGAAGATTAATGAACCTTCTCAATAAACGACACCTTTACAACATTTACATTACCTAGGTGAAATTTACTAGAATAATTTAACTCGTAGAAGTGTTCGGCATAATTTCGCGCCCTTTCACTCAATTTTTTTTTCATTACGAGAGCAATACAGCCTTTTACGTAGGGGTGGTAAATATAAGCTATTTGAGTGGAATGATCATTGAATTCGGTTGTCTGAATAGCTGTTTGTTAGCACTTTCCAAACAATTTGGCGCACGCCTTACCAATACATAGAGCGGCCATATTTATTGCGTCGCGATGTTTCGTGTCATCCGCCATTGCAAAATGAGAACTATGTGTGATAAATCCGCAAATACAACACATTGATTACTTTTCCTGATTTGAGAAGTTATACAATCACATCCCTTTCATAATTCAAGTAGTATTTTTCGAAAATAATCACTATTTATTGCGATTTTAGCAACTACGCCAGTCGCTTTGACAACTCGCACCATTTTGACATTTTGGTTACCTCTGGCTAGCGAACTATCAATAAAATTAATCAGCAAGCCAGTAACAATACTTATTATCTGGTTATCGTGTATTCAATGGTTTATGTATGTTACGTCATATCAGAAAAATATGCGATTTTTTATTAGCCTACAATACTTTTAACAACTCTTGTTTTCTTAAAACTTGCATGAATGAATCGCAATATAACCTTGCAATGTAGTACTTAATATAGGTATTCAACTCATAATATAGGTAAGATTAAATTAGCAAAATATCATAGTAGCTATTTCATTGCTAAGTACATAAAATTTTAATTCAGAACTGTCTAAAGGATGACAACATGCAATAAAAACTCAATACTACCTATGCTATAAGTAGTTCAGTAGGTATTCAATTGTGTTTACTGTTTGTTTGGTTCTGACCTTGTAAAGTTTAGCTGTTGGTAACACAGATGGCGTGTATAAAAATAAATGTTACAATCTACAGCAACTAAGTTATGTATATGGTTTGGAAAATTGAAACTATTTTATGAGAACAGTCAATGTTTTTTATAAAGTAGGTTCACAGAAATTTGAAGCAATTTATTACAGTCTATACATTTTTATTATATCAAAAAAAGTAGTAAATAATAAAATATCATTACAATTTCTTTTTTATTTTTTCTTCAGGTGAAAGAATTGAATTTGGACAATTGTAGAAGCACTAACATTGTAGGGCTTACAGATGAATATACCAACTTGGAAATACTTAGCCTTAACAATGTTGGCCTCACAACACTGAAAGGTTTCCCGACACTACCAAAACTCAGGAAGCTGGAACTATCAGACAACAGAATATCAAATGGACTCCAATTTCTCAATGGCTGTAAGAACCTGACTCATTTGAACCTCTCAGGGAATAAAATCAGAGATCTAGATACATTGAAGCCCCTTGAGGAATTTGAATACCTTAAGAATCTTGACCTCTTCAATAATGAAGTCACAAGTATTGATGACTACAGGAGTAAAGTATTTGCTCTTCATCCATCTCTAAAATATTTAGATGGGTAAGTGTCTATCAAGTTCTTGTTTTAAGAATAATTCATTATTTACATCAAAAATCTTCACCTTTATTGATTCTGTTTAAATGTTTTTCAGATTTGACAAAGAAGATGGGGAAGCAGAAGATAGTGATGCTGAAGAAGAGGATGAAATGAACGGAAATAATGATAGTGAAGAAGACAGTGAGTATATTCACTAATAAAATAAAGTAAGGGCTGTCAATATTATAAGATTTATAATCATTTTGGGGTGTCACAAGTGGCTCAAAGCTAGCAAAATTGTTAATACATATGTTATAATGTCATTACATCATCAACATCACCAGCCTATTAATTTCCCTACTCCTGAAGCAGAAGCCTACCCAGTACATAGAAATCAATAAGGAGAATGGGTCATGACCGGGCATGATGCGAATAAGTGGTTGTTTATAACTTCAGTTGCAGCCGAGACCAACGGCTTACGTCCCTTCTGAAGCTTGATATAGTAATTTTGTTGTGACCAGACCTATGATCCTTATGGGAGTTGTTTTCTTCCGCATTGCAAACTGAACACGGTAACGACTGCACAATCGAATCCCCGTATGTCATTACATCCTCATTTTAACAAACCTACTCTGATAATCAATCACAAAAACCATCCACTAACTACTTTGTGTGCTTACCAAACATGAATATGGTTTCCAACCATTTTATACTGTCTTCCAGATTTAGCCATAAGTCTGAGTCAACTGGTGATTGATGATGTATCACAGCGTCCTGAAGATAGCAGAACTTCCTTGCCTATGATATTATACACAGTTTATGGTCTTCTTTATCACATGGGCTATCTTTTAAAAAGTAAGCATCATGATTCCTCTGATGCTTCTTTTATATACTCCTATTACATACATTACTGCTGTAAAGTATTATAAAGTGAATTCATCAATATTAATATATTTATAGGTTCTGATGTTGAAGAAGAAGAGGAAGATGAAGATATATCACTAAGCGCAGTTTACAATGAAAATCTTGGTAAGATATATATAAATGTACTTCAAACGTGATTAAACACAGTTTTGTGTAATCCACTGGGTGATTCTTCGAAAACCGAATTTCCATTGGAATTTACCATTGTTCAAAAATAATGAATTTGACTGTTTTTTTTTTAATGGGCGACATCAATCTGCTTCCATATAAGATTCTATCATATATACATTTTAAAATAAAAGAAAAGTTGACTCTATTTATTATATAAGAATGGTAATGACGAATGTATCAAAATGGAACTTCGGTTTTCACAGAATCACCCAACTATGCTATTATGTTTATAATAACAAATCAAGAACCAATTTATTAGTTAGGTTAAGTTTGAACTGAGAAAAAGAACAAAAAGTAAGCATAAAAAAAGTTCAGTTGGCTACTTAACCGTTTCAGAAGATTATTTTAAAACTTATGATCACAAGCTGATCTGGCAAACATTGACCATATAAATTTATGGTGAACCACCATTATCACCTCAGAACCTATCCTCTCAGACCTCAATATACATTTTAAATTTTATAATATATATTTCATATACTAAAACAACAAATTTATTTTTCTCCAAAAACTGTGTTTAAATTAAGGGATATCATTTTTATTCCAGAAAACAATCAGTAATATGACATCATATTTCAATAAACATGAATACTTGATGTTGATGTTTATATTATTGAAATGTGACGTCACAGATTCTCCATCGTGGCCGCCAGTCTCGGTTCTTGTAATTCACAGATAATTAATCTCAAGTGTTATAATAACTAAGTTGTCAATTTTCGAATTATTGATCTGTCCTTCCACTCTCTCCAAATAAATATGTATTAATTCCCTTTAGCTAGTTGATCCCGATTCAAGTTCAGTTAATTATAATACATTCAATAACATGTAAAAAATAATCGCTAGTAATTAGAGATTCAAGGACACTATCTTTGGGTTCAAACATTTGATGGACTGACGGAGCATTGGTTAAGTGTGAAAGTTTGAATGTCATATTTAATGCCAGCAACCCTTATTCAGTCAAGTACTTCATTGTATTATGTAGTTAATATTCTATTTAAGTTCTTTTTTTTTATTTGCAGAGGAAGAAAGTTCAGCGAGTTCAATGTTCGACGGCAGCGATGTTTCTGAAGAAGAAGACGTCGATGAGGAAGACGGAGAAGGCGAGAATGATGCCGATGGCGATCACACCAATAGTAAAGTGCAAGGTAAAACAAACTATGATGTAATATATGAATTATATATATATTAAAAGTATACCAATAACTTCATTTAACGCTTAACTTTGTTACTACTTTGTTATGTATACTACATTTGCTGGGCCCCCAAAACATTATAAACACGCAGACGACACGCGTTTCATGCACCGTAAATACAAATTTGAACGCGATTCAAATGTTTGATGTTATAGAGTAGTGATCCCTAGCAAAACTCGATTGCGAATCTCATGTTGTAAAAAGTATAATATCTTTATTACATGAGATTATAAATTATTATTTATAGCATTATGAATGCAAAATTGGTCAAATATAATAATTAAATAATAATTATTATAAAACATTACAATAATGCGTGATGCATTTATTTAAATATTGAATCACGCATTATTGTAAAAACACAAGAAAAAAATACTATTCTTCATAGATGGTGACGAAAATGCAGACGGAGAGCCAGAGGAGAGCACTCGGGGTAAAAAACGGAAACATGAAGACGACGACGAAAATTGAGTGTTGCCTTAAGCGGAGTTATCTTACTAGTTTGTAAGTGAAAAGCGCTCCGAAGCATCGGACAATAAACCTGGGTCTGTACCGCGAGCGCTTAAAACCGCACCCGTTCTCTTCATAGAGTGGTACTAGAGTCCCGCTCACTGTAACGGAACGGCAGCGTTCCAACGGTCGTGGTAAAAGTCACAGATCACTATCTCGTTACTTTGCAGTCATCCCTTAGACTAGTTATCACTTTTTAATCAGCCTGACAAGGTTGATATGAACATGCCTTCACCACAATATTTAACAACCACGACGAATGATTCCGAAGTGTTTAATATCATTGAATGTTGATGTCTGTTGTGTGGAAATCTTGTAGTTTGTTGTCCGACAAGTTAATGTTTCAATTAAATTGTTTATGTAATAATATTTTTTTATTCTATTGACATGCTTAATTTAGTCTAATCATTGAAATGAAAGTGCATGGTTTTAGGATTAAATAGCTCTCATTCTAAAAACTATAATTGCGATGACGATTACTTTAATTAGTTGTAAGGGAGATGAACTAAAATTAGGGTTAACAAAAGAATTCCCAAGCCCTTGAAAAAAACATAACAAATCTGATATGGGCTCCGCCTTTTTATTGATGACCAAATTAGACTGATAAACACATACATTAGAACCTCTATGACTATAAAGTCAATTTTCTCTTTAAACAAATTAGAAAATTTGTCCAAAATTTATTTTTAAAAAGTACAAGTGAAGTGATTTATTTAAAGTAAACTATCATTAGTAAAATAAAATTTAAATTATTATCCTTCCTTAAATAAAAATATTTCTTAATTTCTCTTCAGATCTAATATTCTGGTTTCTTCCGATTGTACATGTGTTTACATGTTGCAACCCATAAGCTGGTATTTCTATAAGAAATTAATCTCGCAATATCAGTATGATAACGGACATAATAATAAATTGGCATTTATAAATAATTTGAAAGGGCGTAAAAAAAACAAACGTAATTCAAATAAATTAGATTAAATCTTGATTCTTTGATCAGTTCAGAGAATATTTTTCTACAATCTTTTTAATCTTGAAAGAGCAATTTATGCACTAAGTAATATCAATGAAATGTTTGGTTGATGCATCATGGTGAATGTGCCAGATATGTTGAAGATAATTTTAGTTAATAATTTTATTCTATTATGTAAGTCATTAAGTTTAAGTAATTTACAACTTGTCCTGTTGATATAATATATATATAATATAATATATATGTATACATTATATATAATCCTATTAAGATTATTTCTGGGATTGTAAAATAAAAGCTAAATTTATTATTTAGTTTCATTCATCAAAATATCTTAAAAGGTAAAGATAAATTAATTATAATCAGGGATTCGTAGTGATTTCAAGCGTTTATTAGATAACTTATATACAGCAGAATTGTCATCTGTCATGTTCTTCTAAAAACTGTTGCAATAAAGTATTTTCTATAGGTATAACGAGGTTTTCACTTCCATCATAAGTACGCTTGATTTTAACAAGTTTGTGATCCAGAAACTCTGTTAACTGAGCTCTTAACGCAAGATCGGAGCTAACTAAAAACTGCTCACGACACTTTGAATAAAGATCCTTAAATGGTAGACCTGAAACAAAATAATAGCGTTATATATGTAGTCATTAAGTACCTAATTATTATCCCAAATAACATTTAAATGTTATAACGCTTGCCAAGTTCTGTAACTGGTTTGTTTAACATCATAAAAAGTGTCAGGCAGTTCCACAAAATCTATCGTTAATCTCCGAAACTACGTAACTTTTCTCGGATAAATAAGGGACTACATGGAGCAAAAACTCATTTCAAACTCCAAGGGGGTGGTGCTGCCAGACTGACGGACACCCTTTATTGCTCATCCAAGAAATAGAAATTGTACTTACGTTATAGTATAATAACTTAATTTTTTAAATATAAATATATTACTTAGGTAATGATTAGATAGGAAGTAGGTATAAATGACTGCAGATGCAGCCGGGACCAATGGCTTAATATGCCTTCCGAATCACGGAGCATTGCATTTCGCCTGTGTTATCAAAAAAAGCAAGTGCGAGACAAGATACATATGGGTGGGCGAGTATGAGATAATGAGTGAGGTCGATTGTATTAGTATTGTTTATTACTTAGTACTTGTTTACATCAAACGTGCTAAAATAATAGTTAATTGATAACTATTAATTAAAATTATTATTATATTATAACACGCTATGTCTGCGATACGGTTAAGCAACATTCGCAATAGCTGGTCATAGGATGGGTGACCAAAAATTTATTATCTCGATCTCCTCCGTGCTTCGAAAGTTCAGCCATTGCTCCCGGCTGCGTCTGCAGTCGTTAATACCTACTATCTATGTACCTAGTATGAGTCGGAACTATCAAAACGGTCTTAGCTGACGAGGAAATATCATCGAAATTTTACCCAAGTGATATATTTCTATAAATCAGCTGTTACACTATAATGTAAGTACAATTGCAATTTGAGAATTGCGAGCTTATCCAAGCATTAAGGGTGTCTGGCAAGAGGTTACCATCATGGTAAGGAGCTGGCAATTAATTACATATTTTTACAATATTCTGATGGATATATCAAATAAAACAGCTTTATAATTTGATGTAAATATACTGGTATTTTGCTCACTTTTAACGCCGTCTACCTGGCAACTAACCCAAACTTCATGATTGGCCGTTTTGTTTATAACAGTATTAGGGACATGAGCTGACAAATTTTGTTTTTTTATAAAATGAAGGGTTCATGACCTCTTACTCAAATAGAAAAGTAAAATATTTTATGGTTGTTGAAATAATTTCCTTAATTTGCTCAAATTCATGGTACCCTTGGTGGATATTCGCATGATGTCAAAAGTTTCTATCTTTTATGTGCTTTACATTTTAAAAGAATGAGTGCTATTATTTTAAAGATATAGCGTGGAGCTGCCAGACTTACGTCAGCCTAGCAGCGCTACATTGTATCTTAATTATCTCAAAGTATTTATTTCAGCCATTTATCGCCACTTTATCTCAGACTGATAAATAAAGGACTAAAACATGACCTGGAAGGATTTTTAGAATTAATTGTACATGTCAATGTAAAGAGATCTAGGCATGGCGTTGCCAGACTGAAAGCCTAACAGCGCCACAGACTCATTTATCTCTGAAACTACGCACTCATTTTATCAGTCTATAACGCCTGACTGCCTTTAATTTTAAAATATTTTTTTTATATAAATATGGTATTTAAATTACATTAAAAATAAAAATCAACTTTTCCGGTGCACTGGAAGTTGTATTTGTAAATTTTGTTCCAATTGATGTGATTCAAAAAAGGGTTAAATATAGTTGATTATTACGCACATTTTTACTTAAGAGTTATGCGTATGTAGATATTTTTTTAAATTACTTCATAAACATTCTCACTAAGTCCTCTTTAGCCATTTCTTCCCGGGAGCTTTACTATAACGTCACATCGAGTGAAATCGGCTCCTTTTTACTTTTTTTTATAAACATTCTTCATTTTTACTGAAAAAATCTACTTTAGCCATTTCTTCTTATCTTTTAACGGCTACTCAGAAGCGCTTTGTCACCGATTGATAAGTAGAAAAGTAAATGATAACTTGCACAACTTTTATATTTTCTATAAACACAGTACCTACTAGCCATAATTACTATTTGATATCTAAACCCAATAACTATTTCCAAAGAATCTGGTAAATTCGTGAATTCTTTTCAAATTCTAAGATGGTGTTGCTTGACTAATGAAACATTTTAATGAGACTATGTAATAAGAAGTTTTACCTTGATAGTGAGCTACTCTCTGATTCTCCAATTGGTAGTTAATTATAATACTGAAAATTCCCTTAGCATTACTAGTGAGAGATTGATAGACACTTCTTAGAGATGATAGCTGTAATGCTCCACTTCGTTGGGTCATTATTGAATTCTCATATGATGTTTCTTCAATATATGGCATGAAAGTGGTAACATCCCACCACGTGAATTTGAATTTACTCAACTTTGAGTGATCCCACACTATAAAAAGAATTTATCATAAGTCATTAAACTTAGTAACCTCAGGTACTATAAAAATATATCCTGTATACTTACATAGAGGTGCGTTAATATGATCTATTGTTGCAATAGTGTGGACATTCTCAATCTCTGAAAGACTTGAAAGGGTGGCTTGAGCTTTAGAATTACGCAACATAGTTCCGTCAATATTGTGTATTATCAAGAATAGTTCTATGCCACAATCTTTCAACTGTTTATCAATCATACTAATAACATCTCCAAGATTTGACGGCACGTGACTATTTTCCAGCAAATCAACAATAATGGACTCCAAAATGCTTTTAATTGTTAGACTAGGAAAGAAACCGTTAATAACGATACATGGAAAATCTTGAAGCTTTTTCATTTGGAATTTTTGTAACAGCGTCCTTTTAGAACCAACACCGTATAAAATTATATTAAAGCCTTCACTTAAAACATAAAGCCACTTGTCAAACAGTTGCTCATACGATTGAGTTAGTTCGAGTACTTTTACTTTATGTTCATCAGATATTTGTATATTATCTTCTAGACTTTCACCAATGTTCAAGTTTTTCAGCCTGGCCAACGTGTGATCGGACGTAGTAATCTATAAAAAAAACACATTCAAACAAATTCAAGTTCTTTGACTAATAAAAAAAAATGATCTTGCAGAAAAATATTCTATTTGTAAATATACAACGACGATTGAAAGCCTTTTGAATCAAGCACAAAACATACATTGCAATACTATGTGTACCATCAGGAATTTCTTTTTTTAATTGCAGTGCGGTTTAAATTATTTTGGTAACTCAAATTTGCTGATTCCAAATTTATAAAAGATAAATTTATTTTTTGTTATTGTACTCATTTTGTCCGCCGGTCGATTATAAATATCCAAATTACATAATTTCGGGGAGCATTTGTGGTGCTGCGATGTTAACTACTAACATCAGCTTGGTCAGGCGTCAACTCGGTGACGGCACTTTTGGAAATTTTATTTATATATATTAGAGTAAAGGAGATCTCCCGAATTTTCCAGAGTCTAGGCCAGGGCTAGACTTCAAAAAATTTGGGACCAAACTCCTAACTCAATACAGGCAAAAAGAGTTTACAACTATTAGATTTTTCTGTTTCTGTAACTGAACAAAAAACAATGCAACGCAGCAAAAAATACATCATGCAAATAAAATACATAATCAAATTAAATATGACACTTGATCTAAAAATGACATTGACAATTTGTTATACTAAGCAAAGTCGCGCAATCTTTAGCTCCTTAATACAAAAACAACATTAATAACAGTCAATGGAAATCATCATACACGCGAAGGCATAAATAGTATGAGATAATTCCCATCGATTCTTAGATTAGTTTAGATAGGAATAGCTTAGATTCTTAGCTATTCCGATTCTCGTTCTATGAAACTGTTTAAGGAGTCGGACTCGCGCATGAAGGGTTCCGTACTGAACCGACCAAAAAAAAATCACGATTGTTGTATAGGAGTTCTCCTTAAATATTTGTTTAATTTTTAATTCTACTTTTTAGTATTTTTTGTTGAAGCGGCAACAGTAATGTGAAAATTTCAACTGTCTTACTCTTACAATTCATAAGATACAGCCTTGTGACAGACAGACAGCGAAGGCTTAGCAATAGAGTTCCCATTTCACTCTTTGGGTACATACATTTTACAAATCTGTGCAAGTTCAACATTTATGGTGAATACATGATCTGAGAAAACTGATATGGTGGATTGACTTTAAGAGGAAACAAGATCACTAGACTTCAGTGGGCAGGTGACTCCCTGTGAAACTGAAATACGAGGAACTGAACGTGAAGGCCAGGCTTTCCACCACGTGTCTCCAAAACATAGAACAAGCTGTTAGAAAACTTGATAAGTTGCTTGTTACGGGCAAGGAAAGAATGTGACACCAGAAACATGTTTATCCCTGGGACTATGTAACTTGGTTACTTGTCCCTATAACAGAAAATAAGGTGCTTAATAAGTTAAGAATTAATTTCAAAAGTCAAAAGGAGGGTGCTGCAAGACTTTTACAGAATACTATCTAATGTTATATACTTGTTACCTTTTTGCTTGAATGCATTAGAAAGTAATTATCAGATGTAACTATATATTCAGAATCCTTTGGTCGACTTCTTGTTTCCTTATTTTTATTTACTTGAACTTTCTTTTGCCTATTGGAATGAAGCTCTTGTTCCTCCTCCTCAGAATCACTAACTGATGATGAACTTGATACAGCATCCTGTAACATCCATTTAACTAACTAAATACAGTTGAAAGTTATTACTATATTATAAATTAGCTTCCCGCCAGCAACTGACCCTCGTGGTATAACTTTCTACCCCTTTTTATTTCATAGTTAAAGCTGTCATTCAGTCATTCAGAACAAAGCGTCTTAAATGTACAGATGAATACAATTAACTTAAGCAGCAAATATTTTTACGGGTAGAAGTTACATAGAAGCACCACTTCAAGGAAGTTGAACTATAGATAGCTAAAGATTTGGTAGTTTTTATTAAAATTTTGTAAACTACTGCTACTGATGCTTGTAGGTAATTGATTTTTAGCTCACAAAGCCAGGTTTAAAAGATTTACTTTGGATTGCTTACAGAAATCTAGTAGATGTGTACCCAAACATATATATATAACTTACTTCATCCGCACTTCCATCAGGCACAAAGTCACTGCTGCTTCCAGAATAATCACTTTCATTGCTGTCACTTTCCACTTCACAAATTATTCCTGAAACAAAAATGATTATGGTACTTTATTTATTTATTAGGTAACACAACAGACATCAATCAAAAACATAATACGTAACAACTGTGAAGTACTAAATTAATATCCTAAAGGTGTTAACACAATGACTTATGATAATGGTTTTTTTTTTAATAATATCTAAAAACAAATAGAAGAGAAATATTAGCAATCTGGATGATTAAGCTTACTATATTATAAATTTGAGTGTGTTGAGAATATTATACCTAGCTAAGTCCAATAGGGGTGATGACTAATTTTTGTTTTTTGTAGAGTGTTAAAAAATATTTAACACGTATTTTTTTATTTTTTTCGTAATCATAAAATTACGGCGTTACATTGAGTTGAAATTTTGCATGACGTCACATTAGAGTACGTTTTCTACTCAACTGTGACGTAGCGAGCCCCCACTCCTCAACTTTAATGCCTGTTATCTATACTATTTCTTGTTAAATTGAAATAAAAAAAAATACGTATGGGGGCGTCCATAAATTACGTGAGATGTTTAAGGGGGGGAGGGGGTCGAGGCAAATCTCATCTAATCTTACGTTGGAGAGAGGGGGGGTCTCGGCAAATATCACATTGAAACAAAAAAAATCTGATTGAAACAAAAAAAAATACTATTTTGGTCCATTTAATCTAGATTGTACATGCTTAAGATTTAATCTTAAGCGTAATCGTATACGATTAAGATCATTCACTAATTCGTTCGGAAGAAAATAATTTCATTCATATTTCGACGCTATACATCGACTGAATGTCAAACCATCATATTTGTAGGGCTCGAACGATACTTTCGATACCGAGTAGGTATCGATACTTTCAAAAGCGATACTCGATACTGAGTACTCGATACTACAACAAGGCAAATACTCGCAAGTACTCATCAAATTGCATTTTGAAAAATCTCACGTGAGATTGGGGGATGGGGGAGGGGGTTGAATAAAATCTCACGATATCTCACCAGAGGGGGAGGGAGGGACAGAAAATTTAAAAAAACACCTCACGTAATTTATGGACGCCCCCTATCTAATATTTTTCTATTATCTGACTGAGGGACTAAATAGAATTGCATTTTTTTTACCTAGTCATCATCCCTATTCCTACTGTTTCTATTCCATGAAACATATCAAAATATTTTAAGTATTTGTCAACCAAAGAAATTTACTGCCACTAGCTGTACCTCACAGGGTACTGAGTGATGTAAACCCTACTTCAACATATTGATATGTCAAGCTTTAGAAAGCTCTTGTACATTTTGCCAAAATCTATTAGACATTGTAGTAAGGCCATCATAGTTATCTATAGATTAATTAATAAATAGATGGCACAGTCATGAGTGAGCTTGGTCTGCAATATGGTTACAAAGCAAAGGGTTTAGCCGGATACGTATGACGAGTCGGCCCCCAAATGGGAATCGATATTGAAACTTATGTTTTAATATCGACTTGATGTTCAAACACGATTTATGTACTTTTCGCGACCGACTTCCGCTTTGACCTTGAAATAGAGAGCAAAATATCCGTATGCTTGACTATTACTGAATGTGATATATCTCTAAAGCTAATTAAGATAAAGAAGTGAAACTAACGCGAGGTGTTAGGTTACATTACAGAGTATATCACATATATTTTTTTATAATTTTAAGAATAAAAAATTACATTAAAAAAATAAAAATAATAAAAAATCATGTTTTTTTTCTTAGTTCTCTGTGACTTACAATCACGAAATTAATATATGTTATGCTCCTTTGTGTGCTCTATTACCCATAAAAATTGCGTGAAAAAAAAGTTGGTGCAACACAACGAAAAAAAATTATATGTGATTTCTGTCTTATGGTATACCCCTGTATTATAAGGTTTTCACATTACATCATTGTTTTTTTTTTTCGAAATTTCACATCAGCTTGTTTTAAAACATAAGTAACTAGTCTTAAGAGATGGGATAATAGTTAAAAAAGAAATGAAAAAAAAACAGCCAGTGTTCAATACTTATTATTATTACTTTTTCGTGTCTATCAAAATACAAGAAACAAAATATTAATCATCGTCACTGTTGTAATTAATTACAATCGGAACACTTTGAGTCGCAAATAACTTAGTTAGGACCTCAGCAGGACGTACGATTTTGGACAAATATCATCCATATGATAGATAATAAATAATAGTTGCTACATGAGAACAGCATCCCACTGTACGTTTGCCATTGGGGCAATCACAGCAATAACGAAGAATACTATTGTAGTCATTACCTTCGGAAATATAGTGAATGTAAATTCGATAGACTTTTCTATTTATATGTCTTGATTTTACTTCTGCTTTGATGATATTAGGTGCTGATTTCACATATTGTACTGAGAGATTATTTTGATCGTCCATTATTTCGGCCAAGTTAAATGCTGCACATTTAGAAGTAGAAGCTTTTTTGTTAATATATGGGATAAGTCAACACTTCTTACAAAAAATATCATTAACTATTACGATTTTATTCAAACAGTCACTAAACACTTTAGCTTCTTCTTCATTCTTCATAATTTTTTTATAACCAGGAACCTTACACAGGTACTTGTTACAATTTTTACACTTTCTCGGCATTATTACTTAATAATCATTTGGTTCGATAGTTAATAATTTAAAAATGCTGATACAAAATCTATGACAGAATTTGAGTCCCAAACTGCCTTCTTGTGTAATACAAATGACTGCTACTTTAGCTAAACAAACGATGCAGTAAACAGCTCGATAACAAGTTCGAACTTGTTTGTTTATACACTCACACTACAAGGCGCGAATCACATATAATTTTTTTTCGTTGTGTTGCACCAACTTTTTTTTCACGCAATTTTTATGAGTGATAGAGCACACAAAGGAGCATTACATATATTAATTTCGTGATTGTAAGTCACAAAGAACTCAGAAAAAAACATGTTTTTTTTTATTTTTATTTTTTTAATGTAATTTTTTATTCTAAAAATTATAAAAAAATATATGTGATATACTCTGTAATGTAACCTAACACCTCGCGTTAGTTTCACTTCTTTATCTTAATTAGCTTCAGAGATATATCACATTCAGTAATAGTCAAGCATACGGATATTTTGCTCTCTATCTCAAGGTCAAAGCGGAAGTCGGTCGCGAAAAGTACATAAATCGTGTTTGAACATCAAGTCTATATTAAAACATAAGTTTCAATATCGAATCCCATTTGGGGGCCGACTCGTCATACGTATCCGGCTAAACCCTTTCACAAAGGTCAGTTATAGGATGGATGCCCAAAAATTTATGATATATGCTCCTTAATGCTGCAGAGGTAATGTTAAGCCATTGGTACTGGCTGCATCTGCAGTCGTCAACACCCAAGGGTCATGACCCATTCTCCCATATTCAATTCCATCCATAGGGAAGTCTCAGAATCAGCAGTGGAGAAATTAATAGGCATTGTCTGAAAAAATGGTTTTCTGAACAATCAGTTGTCTGAACTGACTAGTCAACAATATTGTAGTTTTATAGTCTAATTTATAAACTAAGACATAGTTCTAAACAGATACCTATTTTAATCCAAATGTCACATGCTCAGACGTTAGAAAGGAAATAATACAATCTGCTTACTTTTCTTCATAATATCTTTCACATGTCTTGGTGTTGCTTCACAAACTTTTATTAACGGACTCTGATGTAATCCCATTTGTACCTTCTTTGGAGTTATAGTATGTGTCCCAGTTACTTTAGGTGAATTATTAATGGCAGTTTTTACTTTATTCTGCAAATCATGTTTAGTGTGCCGAGATTTAAATTTAAACATATCACTACCCTCTACATCATCACTACTAAATAATTCTGGAAAGGAGAGTACAATTTATTTGTATTTGCCTTTTATAAAGCAAAAGTGAAATCCAAGCCTTAGATTTACTATAATCAGCATTTTATATCACATTGAAATGGTATGTAATATAAATTATTATAATGGATATTCAACAGTGAAGAACATCTTTATTTAATTTTAGGTCAAATAAAATATTTTACTTATTAATAAATAGACATAAAATAAAACAATTTCTTAAAAAAAATTATATGATTTAAAAATCATCAGTATCAAGCATCAGTAGCTTCTTTTAAGGATATATAATAGAACAATTTCTTATACAATACTTACCAGTTGGTAATTTCAATAAATTAGTATCATAATTTAGACATTCTTCATCAGAAATTTGTTCATCATGAGCTCTTCTTTTTGTGGGTGATAGTTCTGTAAATTCTCCATATTTCTTTGGTTTTGTTCTATTCCGAACACCTCTCCTAATAGGTGTAACATCATGTTTGCTCTCTGACAAAATAATATTCTGAATTATACACAATTTAACACAAATTTTTCAATAAACGTCAAAAGGAAGCAAATGAAGTTACTTATAGACACTGACAGAAATATCCAAATAACCAGCGTTAGCTTTACAATTTCAAACAAATTTAAGGATCTTGATATTTTTTTATGTTAACAGTAGTATTCTAGTTATTTATAAAATATATTTAAAGAGAGAGAGGAGTTGGCAGAGTTGTTCTTCTATAAGGACCAGTCAGGATGTGTGACTAAAAAATATTATTTCGAGCGCCGCGCTTCGTAAAACGTGTTCTTTTTTTTAATTATTGACGTTGCCCTTGTGGGTTCCGCCAGAATCTAGTGTTTCACTCAGTTTACTTCATATTAGGAAAGCAGGTTAAGCCGTTGGTCACAGTTAAATTGCAGTTATAAATACACCTACCAATACGCATGGGCCCGCGTAATGGGTTAGGACCATTGTATGATTCCATCCAGCCTCAGCAGTGAGGAATTAGTTGACTAAAGATATTCTCTATTATTTCAAGTAGTAAGTCAAGTTTATGGAAAATAATCTTACCCATTTTTATATTTTAAAACAACGTTCTTGCACAAATAATGACGTAGACAATATTTTCATGGAATAATTTTCTATTTGAATGTTGAAAACCGCTGCTAAATAGAGTTTGGCAAGCGAAACGTGACACCACCTATTTTTCCGTTTTCATATGGCAACAACATAGAACTGTCAGTTTGACACTACGTTAGACAATTCAAGAATATTGAATTTTGTTGTTTTTGCGAATTTGAACTTGTGTTTTTGGTTAAAAATTATGTCGAAGCCGATAAAAAGTTCATCGAGGAAACTTCTTTCCATCATGATTGACAAGTTTACTGAAGTGAAAACTGAATTAAATAAAAATTTCATGGAGAAATTACAACGATTAGATAAAGTTGTATCTTTTTTAGGTTAGTTTTGTATTATAATTTTGATACTTTCGTTTTAATTTTCTGTAATTAACTAAACAGATATTTTTTATAAAATATTGCTCTATTTCAGATAACTGTGATGGTGATATTCAACCAATAATGGAGGGGATAAATGCAATAAAAACTTTAGAAAAACAAGAAATGCTGAATTCGGAAACGCAGTACTTACAAAAAATTTCTTCAATGACAGGTCTCTTTTCTTGTTTTGATTTAAGATAGATTGATAGTATTCCTATAATATTTACATAGGTTTTTTATGATGTATTGGTTTTTATTGTTGACATCCAATGATGTCATAAGAATGTTTTGTTTAACAAGGAAATTCACAGAATTCATGAAACTAATCAAACCATGTAATTGTTATACATGCTAAATATGCACATAAACTTAACTAAATTAAACATAAATTGCATTCATAGTTGAATAGGTATTTAAATTATTTTGATGTATGTGTCTATCATTATTTGCTTTTAAATACATTTAACATATCTTTGTTTCAAAGTGTTTAATCTTTTATAGATGTAAGTATAAGGACACTAAGAAGGATAAAAAATGAAGCATTAATTAATAAAGGAAAATGGGACACTCCTGGGAAAAAACGACCTCATCAACCAACAGTGTCTGCTTTAGATAATTTTGATTTAAGTGCAATTCGGAATAAAGTAAATGAATTTTACTGTGTGAAAAAAATTGTTCCAACATTAAGAAGCCTTCACAATGAATTAAAAGATGCAATAGGATTCAGTGGTAGCCGTGAGACTTTACGAAAAATTATGCTTAAGAATGGATTTTCTTTTAAAAGCAATGAAAATGAACGTTCTATGCTTATAGAAAAATACCAGATTTCTGCATGGAGGCACAAGTATTTGAGAGAAATAAATATAAAACGAAACGAAGGAAAGCAAATTGTGTACCTTGATGAAACTTATGTACATCAGAATTATAAAGTTAAAAAGTCTTGGCAAGGACCTTCGACAACTGGTGTCACTACAAAGATATCCTCTGGAAAACGGCATATTGTTGTGCATGCTGGATCTGAGGAAGGTTTTGTGCCTGGTGCATTATTAGTGTTCAGTAGTAAATCCAAATCTGCTGATTATCATGATGATATGAACTCATCGAACTTTATGAAATGGGTCAGAGAAAAATTAATACCAAATTTAAGTAAGCCCAGTGTAATTGTTATGGATAATGCCAGCTACCATATAAAACAAATCAATAAACCGCCTATAATGTCTAATACCAAAGCAGATATCCGTAAATGGCTTGTAAATAATGGAATACATTTTGAGGAATATCAGACAAAGGCAGAGTTAATGTGTTTGGTTAATGATAAGAAAACATTGCCTGTATATGAAGCTGAAGAGATTTTAAAAGAACATAATCATGAACTTTTATTGCTGCCACCGTATCATTGTGACTTAAACCCAATAGAGATGGTTTAGAGTCAAGCAAAAAGAAAAATTGCAAGCAGAAACATTGGAATACCAGGAAAGGAAATGGAAAACTTAATAATAGAGTGTTTTAACTTAATTACCCCTAGTGACTGGAAGAAATACACTGATCATGTTTTAAATGTCGAAAATGATTACAAATTAAAAGATGGCATTGTTGAAAACGAACTTGAAAAATTTATTATATCTGTTGGTGCAGACAGTAGTGAAGAGAGTGACTCTGATGATTCCTTGTCATTGTTATCAGGTGTAGAATATTTAGAAACAGATTTTGACTATGAATCAGACTAAAGTATTTTTAGTCTGATTCATAGTCAAAATCTTATCTTAAATTTTCTATTGTGATTAACATGATGATTTTGTGACACCTGTATTATGTAATTTATCCATGGCACTTAATTGTAACAAAAATAAATGTTTTTTTTATTGTAATCTGGTGTTTATATTGACTAATTTAATTTGATAGATAGTGGTTCTGGATCAGAGCAAAAGGTTGTGATGAAAATCCCTTAGGAGACATGTATGTGTTATGAACACATTATAAATATAAGGGCCAGAAATCAAAATTGGCTAACATCACATTTATTAAAAAAATGTGGCCAGAGTCGCCCATATTCATTACAAAAAAACAAAGAAGTCGTTGCAAAAAACACCCTTTTAATTAATGACAAATATGAATTTTTAATATTATAAGTGCTGTTAGCCAATAGGTATAACGAATGGGTTAAAAAAAAGATTCGATTTAGTCCGTCAGTCAGATAATAGAAAAATATTGGATACGTATTTTTTTTCGCTTTAATTTAACAACAAATGGCTTAAGAGGTACTATGCGACGACTTCAAATATGCTTTGCAACAATGTTACTTTAATACAGTTTATCGATACGAAATCAAGTGTCAAAATGGAGTCCAGTGGAGAATGCCGATATTGACATTTCGAAATTGCTCATCATTGATAGAGAATACGAAATAGTGATTTTGACACAATCAAAGTGTCTATTTTTTACGGTGATGACGATTCTTGGTTGTCAGTTGAGTTAGTGAATAGGCCTACTGATATGCTGTTAACTGTACAATTAAGAACAGTCACGCTTTAGTCAAATGTTCCAAAACAAATAATTTTAATTGATATCTAAATGTTAAGATTAAATATAATTAATAAAAGTATCAAAATTATTTTGCAGTACTACATTCAGTGTTTACTGCTTAAGAATTTTTGAAATTGCCGCCCTTTTCTTGTGACACGTTTCGCTTGCCAGACTCTAACAAACTACTTAAAATACCGCCTAAAAACTCATCACCACAGATCTCATCACGAAATAAAGGCACAACAAGACATTAATTTGACATTGACATCTTCAACCTAGAGATGTGCCGAATCATGGCCGAACCCGACCGACTCGAGTACTGACTGGGGTTAACTCTATTGGAATGGGAATATCTTTCTAGATATTCCCATTCGTAAGTACTCAAGTACTCTCATATATTTTCATAATCCTGATTTATGTACTGTAATAATTTTATAATGAGTATAAAATATTAGTAAATTACAAAATTAATAGGATTTTCTCTAATCATATGTAGTAAAAAGCGAATTAATTTCTTAATGCTGAATAATAACAAAACAACTCTCATTGTATGTAATGCAGTTATTCAAAATTTATAAGCTTTATTAATAAAAAGTTGAAACGGAATAAATATTTTTGTAGTGTCAGTCACGGTTTTTTTTATAAAGAAATATAGTTTTTTGTTTGTTCTGTTTTCTAGTAAATATCCAAAACAACAGCAGAAAGTAAGTGGAATCAGGAAGAAAAGGTAGAAGTCATTTCATTAAAATTTATTTATTTTTGTTAGAGTAAAAAAGAAACGATACGTGATCCCTAAGGGCAGTAAGTAAAATCAATAATTTTCTACAGAAAAAAATATAATTATTTGTTTTTACTAAAAATGTTTAAAATCTAGATACAATTATTTATGTTTTTAAAAATCCATAATCTGATTATTTTAATTCAAGGTTGATTTTCCGGTATTTTAGTGTTTTATTAAATCCAAAATATATTATTACTTTAGAATTTGTTCTTGTAACTATATTTTTGTTATCTTTTATTTCAAATATTTTTCTTATTTCCTGTAATATCAGTTTTTTAAGTTACATTTAAATCATTATTAATTTTATAGTATTAAGCAGTAGTAGACATGCCATATTTTTGAGTAAAGTTGTTTTAAAGCTTATTCACTTTTAATATTACTTCAAAATCATAAAGCTCTTAATGAGGCACATTTTCAAAGCAAAATATGTACTCTCAAATTCTACTTCCTTTTGTATGTAGATCGTTTACATTTAATTGAATTAATCATAATAAAAGTTCGAATATTTTAAAAAATAAAATATTTATTAAATCAAAGTCTATGCCATCGTTATCTATGCACTTTTGCCATCTCATAGGTAGTTCATTGATCCCTTACTCCCTTACTAAAAAAACCATTCAGACGGGAATCAATAAAATCTTTAAAAGCGATTTGCACTGACCCATCGGAGTCGAATTTTTTCCCTTGCAAGAAGTTATCCAAATTTCGAAAAAAAATGGTAATCTGTTGGAACAAGGTCCGAGGATTACGGTGGATATTAGACATCCCAATTGAAGCTCTTTTAATTTGGTAGCCGTCTATTGTGCAGTGTGTGGTCTAGCGTTGTCGTGAAGTAGCAGTGGTGTAAAGCGATTGACCAGCCTCAGTTGTTTAACAGCTAGTTTTTCCGACATGGTTTTCAATTGCCGACAATAGACGTCTGCCGTAATCGTCTGGCCAGATTTGAAACACTGTAATGAACGACACCGGCACTAATCCACCAAATGCTTACAAGTAACTTTTTTGGGGTCAATTTTCGCTTGGGGCAAGATTTGGCTGGCATGCCAGGGTCCAACCATTGCGATGAGCGCTTCCGATTATCGTAGAAAATCCACTTTTCATCTCAGATAATGATTCGATTTAAAAACTCTTCATTATTGTGCC